AATAAATATCAAACCAGAAATTGCTCTCTTCAAACTGTAAATTTTCAATGAACTTGAGAGAATATTCACTGTGTTAAGGATTTCCCTGCTGTACTGTTAGCTCTATACAAGAGAGGAAGGGCGATTCCTTTTTAATTTCCGTTTCGCGGACACAGCTTTAGCAGAAATCTCTCTTTAGTCGTTTTCGTCGACAAAACGAATAGCAATATTGCTCTCCGCGTCTTCCGCCATTTTTTTTCTGCCTCAATTCATGAAGGACGCGTGGCTCTGAGCGTGGGTCATCCACGCGGAACACATTCGCGCTATGTGATTGGCTGTTGTCTAATCCCCCTTGGGATCTGTGGTCTTAAAAATAACTCGATACGAATTACCTATGGAATAGGGTGTGTATGGAGGATGCCTTCTCTGTCCCCTTTATTCTCTCTTGTTTCGACGGATTCATAGATACGACAGCTACTAGTTCCTTCCTATCACGGCATGCGCGCCAGTCGTCCGTAAGCTTGAGAAGCGCGGTCTTGCAACAGTGTGACGTCGCCTATAAGCAGAAATGAAGTCGGACAATAGACCTTGGTAGAAATCCTGCAATCGATCTGAGAGCAGTCTTTCAAAAATATTGTTCAAGCAGGGTAGAACAGTAACAGGCCTGTAGTTTCGTTTATCTAATTCCTATAGAGAGCGAGCAGAAGTCTGTTCAACCCGGGGGGTACGTCCTAGTAACAGGCTAATGGGTATGTTCCACTGGATGGGGTCGCACTTTCACGACTGTATTGACTATTATGGAGTTGCATGTTTAAAAGAGACAGTAGAATGGGGTCGCACATTTTCAGGATTTTGGGGGTCAGAAAATTAAGGTTTGTGGGGATTTAATAATAGAAAGATTTACACCACATTAAGCTTCACAAACGAATCAGTTCATTTCGGGACCACAAGTTAAAAGGCATTATATGGCAGATGCATAGACAGAAAGTGACTAAGCTGAGATTGTGCAAATTACTTTTTTCCAGGCACATACCCAGAAAAAGTTAGCCCCCCAAACGGGCTGTTCAACAAGTAAACAACGATGAGAGCTCCCCGTTGTCAACCTCGTTCCCAGGGCTTTTCCCTATAGCCCTGGGGACGAGGTTGCCCTGTTGTACATGAGTGACTGAATGAGCGTCTAATGGTAAATCAGTGCGACTGGAACTGCCCTATTAAGCGTTTGTTTCTAAAGTTTAAAAATCCAGTGTAGCTTGAAATATGTCAAACAGACATTTTCCTGTTACTCCATGCCATACTAAGACATCACCGGGTTTCTTCAGGTTGACACAGGTTGTGTTAATTGGTGGTTCCTTCCTACGAAATTTGTTCATGTATTTCGGTTTCACTCCAGCTTTTTCTGCAAGCATACCAATGTAAACATCGTCGATTTTAAACCAAGGAACAACGTCAAATAACTCCACGAACAAATAAACCACATCAGAAGACAAGACAAATCCGTATCCAGCACAGAAGTCTGGATAGAATGTTTGATTATATTCTTCAAACGAAACTTTCCATTTTCCTTCTCTCTTAACGTAGTTCCTCTCATCGCATTGACCCATGTATAACTTTGTTTTAAGTATTGTAGGCTTGGCAAGAAGTGAAATCAAACTTTTAACGTCAACAAATGTATCGTCGTCCATTTTTAAAAGAAACGAAAAATTACAGTACAAGGAAGCCCACTCAAACGCCATTTGTATCTTCAGGGTCTGATTCCAGTAACTTTCATAGTAGTCCGCGCGTATGAGGTCTCCGAAGGTTTCGCCTTCTCTCAACAGTGCTTCCGACTCCGTTCGGTTTCGCGTTTGAGCAACAAGAAAAACTGTTTTCCATCTCGGGTTTAGAGAGCTATCGACCCCCCAAGTTAGGCGGATATCTCTCCTTCTCTGGGCATTATAGGATGCGGAGGAGACCAATACTAGAAGAAAGTAGGGCCACCCACAACTAGTCGTAGTTATTAGAGTTGTCTTGTGCTGCTTTAATTGTTCACTTGATTGTGTCGTTGAAAATATATTTGTTGGCGAACTCGCATTTGACATGACCATTGTCAGCTCTTGCAATTCTCCCTGATATTCTAGAACATGGTACAAGCGTAGAAAACTCAGCTGAACAACATGGGAAATATGCCAGCACAGAAACCCTCCAAGCGCTAGAAATAGACAGAAGGTAACTTCCTTGAGAGTTCGTCTGCGAACTAGCAACATGGCCCGCATCGGAGGAATCCGTGTAGCAGTCTCCAACACCTGAAGAAATGGAATTAAAAAAGTAAATAAAAAAATTAATGAATAATTTTCCGCTATTTAGCCTCGGCAGTATTTATAGCACCAATAATAGTTGAGGAAGGGGGGGTGGGGGGGGGGGGTATTAGAGAAGCGCAGACGGTGCAAATGTCTGGAAACTAACTAGAAATAGTTGACACTACAGCTACCCCCGCTCTGTGTATTGTCGGTCAATAGTATTCTTGCTCGTTGTGTAGCCTTCTTTGAAATAACTGATTCATAATGAAGATGTTCACTTATATTCCTTACAATAGGTGAGATAAATGAGTCATAAATACAAGAAATAAACGCAAGGTTCCATGCACAGTTTCGGTTCCATTTACACAGCTTCAAAACAGTTTTCAGTATCGAGAATAGTTTATTCTAAACCATAAGAAAAGGTTTAATTAGAAGTTGAATTTTTCGCTATTTCTATTTCACTTTTTACATTTATTTCATTTTATTTGCCGGAAAGTAGGCCTTAGAAATTAAAAGGACGTTTGATCAATTCACGCTCGCGCATTCTAGTCTTGTTTTAAACTTATATAGCGGAAGGACATCTGTGAGCAGGGAATAAGTCAGCACAGAATTTGATGGTCGGCGACTTTCTGTAATCGTCCATCGTTCTGCTAGTGATGTATAAGCTAGACGTTGAATCATTCACACGTCTTGCTTGTTTGGGGCAGAGTCTTATTCCAGTCAAAGAAAGAGAAAGAGTGTCTGCTAAGGTTTCCAATCAAAGATTTGTGACCTCTTGTCTGGCAAACTCACTTAGTGTTAAAATATACACTGTCACAATCACCTTATTACTTCATCTGCGCTTAACGAGTGTCTTTTGGCCCATAACTTTCATAACAACTGCTCCACAGAATGTCACTGATAACACGTAACGCAGAAGAGTATCGAAGTATGACTGCACAATTAATGTCACAAAATCTACCTATTGGAAGCGGTCCATTCGGGATTTTTTGCGTTTTACGTCATCCTAACCATTTTGTATTTGCGGGCGCAAACAATAGAAACGTCATCATTGACTACCGGCCCCTCGCGGCCCCTGTTCAAGCAAATCGAGATTTTTTCTATATTTCAACTGTAAGTACTTTAATATACGCGCGAGTTACTAGAGTGCCTCCTCGGGATTTCGCCTTCTGGGCGAAATCCCTGCGGGGGCAATAATATAAATCAAATATAATGGGTTAAGAATCTCAACTGGCCGGAGTTGGATATTTACAGGGGTGGTCGAGAATTCAAACTTTGAGCTCGGGACTACCGAGAACAAATGGAGCTAGCAGTCAGGGAGGGATCGGACTTGAACTCGAGACTTCTGAACTGCAAGTCCAGCGCTATAACCGCTCGGGTACGCTGCCTCCTCTAGATAATCTATAAGAAGAATAGGAACACTTCCAGTCAAACTCAAATAAGAGACCAGGAGACACGTCTAATGCAACGTTCTGGCGTTCTGTCGGGCGCTGGGCAATTTGTTTTTCTCAGGTATTTGATTTCCGACCCTGCTAGGAAGATTTGCTTTCCCTGCTACTGTAATTCAGCAAGGGATGGAAGCTGTGACAATCAATTGGAATAGATCTAAGACAGAGCATTGACTTGTGACAGTCTTGTGACAGGCAAACAGTTTTGAGAAAGACTTTTTCAAACTAATGAATAATTCAGTGTTTGGTAAAAAAATAGAAAACATCAGAAAGAGACAGAATATTATACTCGTAGACTCCCGCGACAAAGCCTCGAGATTAACAACAAAGCCAAACTTTGATCGAGCAACAATATTTTATCGCAATCTTATTGCTGTTCACATGAAGAAAACTGAAGTATACTTCTCTAAAGCAATATACGCGGACAAGCAATACTGGATCTGTCAAAGACACTAATGCATGTTTGATTTTCATTATGATTATATCCGAGAGAAATATGATGATGCAGCCGAGTTGTTGTTTACAGACACCGATAGCTTGTTGTACTTAATTCATACGGATGATTTTTATAAGGATATATCTCGAGACATAAAAACCAAGTTTGACACATCTGATTATCCTGAGAGCCACCTATCTGGTATTGAAACAGGCGTTAAAATGAAGTAGCTGGCCGTCAGATTACTCACTTTGTTGGGCTTCGTCCGAAGCTTTATAGTTTCAAGGTTGAGGATGTGGGTTTAACTAAGAAACGTAAAGGTGTCAAGAAGAATGTTGTTAAACGAGAGTTATCATTCGAAGATTACACCCAGTGTTTATTTTCTGGTGAAAGAAAGATGAAGACGATGAACATTATTAGAAGTGAAAATCATGATATTTACTCAAAAAAAGTAAATAAAATTGCTTTAAGTAATGATGATGATAAACGCGTTGTGATGGAGGATAAAATGAATACTCTAGCCTCACGGTAAACAGCTTTAAGATATTTAGAAATCTAATAAATGGCTTACACCAAAGAGCAGATAGAACGATATCTAGAAATATTACATAATTTTTCTGCCAATCAAGCAGAAGGGGATGAGGATGGAGATAGACACTTTAAATGTTGGAATTGCCAAAGTGATCGTTTCTTTGTTGAATCAGGTTACACTAAGTGTGAACCCTGTGGTTTGAGTAATGGTCATGCTCTCGGGTTTTTTGACCAGCGAGAGTACAATAGATTTCATTATCGTAGGAAGAGTATCTACCAGAGACGCTACCATTATGAGAAAAAGGTTAATCAGATTTCTAAGCGGCTATCTTTGACTGATGAAGATGCGTCCTGTTTATTTAAAAGACTAATGGAAATAGACCAAGTCACCATTACAAAACTACACAAACAATTTTGTCACAAGATAATGATAAGCATTTTTTATTTAATCAAAAAATGCTTGGAAGAAATGGGGTGCGAAAAACACCAACAAGTTTATCTTAAGATTTCTAAACAAGCACTAGAGAATTATGAAAAGTGGTGGGAATGTTATAAACAGTCGCTAAACGCTTCTCTATAAGACTCCTCTGTGAAAGCACCAGTAAACAATTCCAGTTAGATAACCAAGAACTTCGTTTTTTTTAAAAATGGAGAGTTGAATACATACACATCCTCTTCGTTTGTGGTAATGTTTCCAAAACTCTCGAAAAGCAAGACTAAATATCAGATGATAACACAACACAGGTGACGTTGCGTTACAACAATGACGGTATTCTGAAAGCCGATAAATTATGTGGTTTATATCTAAATTCTTTGAGTTAAAATTAAAGCAAAAAAACTTGTAAACAAGACAGGCTTTCATAAAGTTATCATCGTAAAACTGTGTTTTGTTCAAGGGAAAGTAATAATTTACGTATGCTACAATTCTGTCTAGCATTTCTATATATTAACTATATAGAAATGAGCTCAATTAAATTTTTTATTATATCTTCTGACAAATTTATCTGCTAACGGAGTCTGATCAATTATCATTTCATCTATTAGTTTCATTCGATCAATGAATTCTTGTTTGTTAAAATTGTCTCCTCGCAAAGCTGATCTCAGTTCCACCAGCACTTTTCCGTATGTTGTAAATGCTATTTGTGACATTTCTATCTTTTTCTTGTAATTCGTAGTTTTTCCAATAGTTCCAACAACCACCCCAGCACCATTTATTACACCAAGAACTATTGGGTTTAGTGTTATTCCACCTGTTATCGTACCAATAACAACTAATCCCACTCCAGTTAGCGTAAGTGTTTCATCAAGAATTTTAAATCTTTTGCATTCTTAAAACACCAGTATTTCTTGTGATAGAGATAGACAGATAGTTTATTAAAATATCGAACATGGCAGTCCCTAGACTGAATTGCGTTACAAGTACTTAAAACTAAGATTAAATAAATTCCAAAAATATAAATACTAATTGAAATTATAACAAAAAACATTTCTATAAAAATGCGAAAAACTCTCTATATATAACTAGGTACAAACTAGTCCAAAAAAATTATGTACACATACTTGGAATAAAAGTGTTCTTAAAACGATTTGTATGTGTACGGGGCATGGCATAAGCCCTGGACTGTCTTAGATTATGTCTGTGTTCTCTCTTAGGAGGTAAGACAGGGACAAGTTTGTGATCCGGGCATGACGTGATAGACTCAAAAATAAAGATAATGGCTGTAAAATTCTTTGAGAGTTTTAATATCAGATTCTGACAGAGTTATCTATGTGATTAAATTCAAAGATGTCTATCATTTTAAGAAAGTAAATATATTAATGCAGCGTAGCCAAGGGAGGAGAGTTGTACTACACTATATAAAATTCATTTAACTTTTCTTGAAGCATTACTTCGTGATATTGCTCAGAGTCAAAGTCGTAAAAGTTTGGAGAAAACATTAATCTATTTAACTCTCCATCTTCAGTTGTAAACGTCCAACGTTGACTAGTGCAATAGTGAACGGCTGGTATAGTCAATGTTGAGCTGTAGTTACTTATTGAAGCTTTCGTAACATTTGTATCAAAATTTTCTGACAGCCATAAAACAATTTTTTTTTTCCATCAAAACTACTTGGCATGGTAAAATTTTGAGTTGATTTATTGACAATTAAATTTGCTGAATTGTTTGTTTTATCCTAATTTAATTTTAGTTAAAATATTATTGTTTGTTGATATATATTTAGTTAGGTTAAAATTCCTATTTCTCCAATGATAAAAAACAATACATAAACTAGATTTCGAAGAATGTGAAGGAGAAAAAGGAACATTATAACCTCTAACATTTAATCCATCTTTTTTTTGTATCACTTAGGTATCTATTAGGTATTAGTATATACACACTCAGTGATCTTGGTGATTTAAGCAATCTGATTGGTTCGCTATCTCCGACTATTTAACAATTATTCCACGAGGGCGCGTTGGATATGAGATGTAGGATAGCCAACGAGGCGCGTAGCGCCGAGTCAGGCTATAATCATCTCATATCCAACAAGCGCGAGTGGAATAATTGTTTTATCAAAAACGCCCACAAAATCTCGTTGAATCTCCCCTACTAGAACAAACCGGAAAAGACAAGGGACTTCCGCTATTTACATGTCACACGTCTATCAAAACTGTCAACGCGCGAACGGACTTGCCTGGACTGAATGAATGAAAAATCAAAACATTGTAGCGATGAACATTAGTTTTTTAAAAACTCATCGGGATTCTAGGATTTTACACAGCAGAACAGCTAAAAAAACCTGGGCAGATAATGTGAAGGAAAATAATTTTTAAGTGACAGCCGTCGAAATTACCGTGAATTTGGATTTTCGGTGCAGTTATAAAAGTAAGAACAACGGAGAAAAACTATTACCTCGGTCGCTTGTTATGAAGTTGTTTGAAGCCACAAGCTGGTTTTGCTGAACGAGGAAAGAAGCTATACTGCCGCCTCGATTGCTCTAGTGAATGGCTGCATAGCCTGTATTTGTAGATGGTTACTTGTGATTTATATTCTTGATGTCGGATAAACAAGCCGCAGTTTTCTATCGGCGAGTGACTCGATGGTCAAGGTACTTTAGGTCTATGTGTTTTCATGTGTTTATCGACAAACTTTCTAACAAGCTCTTGTGGATTTTTTTGTTTGTTTTTGTCCTTTTTCTTTCGATGAAATTGCATTTCTGTAGTATTCTCAGAAATGAATTAAAACAATTTGCTTCGGGCGCCGTTCTATCCTTCGCGAAAAAAATTCTCAGCTAGCTTCCAATTTTAAACTGACGCGTACACCGACCATATATGGAGAGCATGGTATAATAGCTCATATACCATAACGGCTAAGCCAATCAAAATGCTAGAATTGCATTATCCAATGATTCAGTTTTTAATAATCAACAATATTCACCTCCTAGCGAGTGGATAATGTGTGAGCTCGGTGTTTTCCCACTTTTTTTAGAGAATGATCTTTTAAAAGTCGACAAAATCCTAGGGCTGACTTGGAAGACTTGGAAGGATTCAATACGGCGTTTTTCAATTTACTGTAGCTGAGTTTTTTGCTCAATGGATTGTTTACAACTCCCGTGTATTCGCGTAGAAGAAGCCGTTTCGTGAACTCAGGTTTTTCTAACAAGAAAATTTTGGCTCAAAAATCGAGGTTTATTCATGACAAACAAATTTATAAGGCAATGTTTGCAGAAATTCTACGTTTCAAGTAAACAGGAGAGAATAATACAGGAAGACGACGTCTTACATCGAGCAACCTAGCCGCTATTTTTGTCAGCACTTCGTGCGTAGAACGACACAACAAACCCTTTTGGCTATAAACTTGGCGAGTCAACAGAAAACAACAAAGCTCTACTTTTCTTCTCAGGTAAGGAAACAATTCAATCTTTTAGCGGTTCCATTTAAGCCATTACGCTGTTGTTTGCGAAATGATAAACTTGTGAATTGCCATGTTTGAAAATTCTGCAAAGATCTATTTTTAAACTTACGCGTGATTTGATCTGTCAATCAGATCGTACTTTTTAATGGTTTCCTCTCTGATTTTGTTGAGATCACTTCGTGTGAATAGTGGTTTTGGGAATATTTAGGATTTAAAGAATTGAAAATAACTCCAAATGAACCTATATTTATTCTATACCTATCCGCATCAGCAAAGTCATAAAATTCTTCAAAATATTTTCTGTACAAAGCATTTTTGGTAAAAGGAAATAACTCTTTTACCATTCCAACTGTTGCAGCACTATTATCACTGTGTCGATCAAGTTTGATATTTCTAATTGTCTTTTGATTTGCATTAATATCAACATTGTACTCCACTTCTGTTGGTTTAATATCAAATGCTGTGTGGTAGTCGTAAACTTTATCTGGGTCGACATCACTGGCTGTTCTCACGATACCATAAGCAATCATGTAAACCCCTGAAAAGTTACGCGGATACACCGCCAGGTCAGTTCCGTCCTGTGGAATATTAACCAATATATGAAGAAAATAGGGGCTAGACGCTGTCTTGCGAAAATTAACTACCACCCGGTGATAATACATAAACTGTGGTTGATTTTTTGGATCAAGATACCTGTGGGAGTACCTCCTCACACTAACATTTCCAATAGTTAATCCTTTCGAGGTGCCCCTGTCAACAGTTATTTGAGACTTATGCCATAGCTAATAATCAGTGTTGAGTATTTCTAAACAAAGGGTATAGTCAGCATTTGTAGTTAGACGATACAAATTAATTCCCATCTTATACTTATAACCACCTTGAGAATTCTTAATTATAGTCGTGTATAGAACTTTGTGGTTATAGTCATGAAAGTTTCCTTTGTTTGGTGGTAAATCACCTATCTTTGTTATATTAAAACTATTTCCACCATCGATTTCATCCGTCCATTGATTTGAGCTTGACATGAGGTACCCAAACTGATCCTTATAATGGCTTGGTTCAACAACCGAAGTGTGGTGAACGAGGTTATTATCAATTTACTCTTTGGTTGTCGCGTCGCTATCTGAAGTGGGAGTTTCAAGATTCGTTATTTTATGGCCGCCAATATTAAGATTTCCAGTCATTTGAACACTCCCACCTTTTTAAAGTAAGAACTAAGATCTGGTATTGAATTGTCCAATACTTTTTGGTTGCAGCATCTGTGTCAGACACCGGCGGACGTACATGGTTTATACTTTTATTGTTCATATTTAAGTTTCCTCCCATTGAGGTTGTTCCATCTCGGTGGAGATACATAAGATCGGTGAAAATCTTTGTTGTTGGTTGATTATTCCCTGTTGGAAGTGGAAGATTGTTAATTGTATGTTGTTCATGTCCAGATTTCCAGTCATTTTTTTTTATCCATCTAGCTTTAAAAAGTCATTAACATCGACTTTGTTATCATCTACATATTTCTTTGTTGCTACTTCACTGTTTAATCTAGGTGTTCTCAGATTCAGTATTCGGTGACCGTTAATATTTAAATCACCAATCATTGTACTACTTCGATCGCTTTTAAAAAAGTATGTGTCAGTGTAGTGTTTTGTTGCTGCATCTTGTGGATTTACAGGTACTGCCTTTAAATTAATCAAAGTATTATTATTCATATCTAAGTTGGCATGCATTGATCTACTTCCATCCAAATGGACATATCTATTACTTGCAAATGTTAAATTTACTGGTTGGTCACCTTTGTTTGGTTGTGGTAGGTTATGGATTCTGTTGTTGTTCATATTGACATCACCAGTCATTGGGTGGGATCCATCTCTGTAAAAAAAGTGAATGTCCGCGTATTGTTTCGTGGCTGGTTCATCTGCGTCTCATCAACATATTTTTTTGTTGCTGCGTCGGTATTGACCGTGGGTGTTCCAACATTTGTCAGTTTTTTACGCGTCATATCATAATTTTCCATCTGCGGTGAGACTAAACACAACTCCTGGAGCGCCTTGAATTCGTCGGGCAAAAGGATGATTACAAAATTGCTCGTTAAATATACCCATTTTTAATTATAGGTTAGATAAGCGGCGTAGGGAACCTATAGTTTCCCTATAAAGTTTCTTGCAATTCGCTTTTTTGGTTTGTCAACATACAAAAATGTAAACTGTTCTCGAGTTGATTCTTTATACGTCTCTTTATTAACTCCCAACTCAGATGTTATTCTGGAGGATTCTCGCGATGATGGAAATTCGTATAAACAGTAATGAGAACAATTCAGCCGAATGTCCTTTGGAGTTTTGTAAAACAACTGGGAAAGGTACACCACAGAGCAATTCTTATGACGGCCTTGAATAAAATAATCTATTAACTCTCTCTGATTGCGATCACAGACGTAGTCATCGAATATCACAAGTTTTTGGTTGTCTTCGTAGTCTAGCTCTGACTCCGGGGTTATTTCATCATTACTCACATGAAGTATTTCATAGCCGAGTTTACAACTCAATTCTCGCATTTTCTGAATTAGCTTTTGATACTTATCCTGTTCTAGATTACGCGTATACAAATAAATCTCATAGTACAAAAGTGGTTTAATTAACATGTGGTACAACAAATTAGTTTTACCACTTCCTGAGTTTTGACAGATCAACATCCGAAATGTGTCTGATGGCATGTAAGGATACAGCTGTTTGAATTTTTTATCTGTGTTATCATTGATATCATAGTTAGGTATTTCCATTTATATAATGCAAAAATGGACATTCAAGAAATTAAAAACTTTGCTAAAAATAAGATTGAATCCGATGATCTTGCGCGACAGGTGAGACGTCGAATAAAAGCAACAACCTGGGAAAAACAAATCAGAAAGAAGGATTTCCTGAATCTTTTAAACCTCTGATTTCCCAGTCTGAGAAACCTGAGGATGATAAAACGCGTACTATTTACACACAAAATCAGGAAATGCTTAAAAATCAGTTGGCTCTTACAGAAGGTCTTAGAGCCAACCAGCGATCTAATACTCACGGTTTTAGTCAGTTAGAACGTTTCGCTGATATGAGAGAGTTACCAGGAGCAGAAGCTACTGAAGACGAAGACGATTATAAAACAGCAGCTAGCTCTAGTGAAACAGAGCCAGACACACCAGAAGAAAAAAAAAATTTTTAACTTAGCTAGCAGGTTTAAGGACGAACAAATAGAATATTTAAAAAAAGGTGGTTACGATGATCCTAATAATTTATTAACAAAAGATTATGATTATTTAGAATCCTATTTTAAAGATGTAAATAGTGATGTTAAAACTTTAAATGGAAGAATAGTTGGCAAGGAAAAAAAGAAAATAAAACTCAACAAGATAAAGATATTATTGATAAAGCAAAAATGGAACGAGATTTATTAGTTATTTATAAGGATACTATAGGTGATATTATGAAAGCAAAAGGAAAGTACAAAACTGGAAAAGGAATTAACCCTAATCAACTTATTGATAGGGTTAAACTTCTCGGGGGTAGTATTATGGCTGGAAACAACGGCGTCGTGCCAGAGTTTACTCAGATAGAACGTTATTTAAACTCAATGAAGGTCTTACCCACAGAAGAACTAAATAAAATGATGAAAACAATGAAAATATATCTAGGCATGAAATAAAATGGATATAGACAAAGCCAAAAAACTTTCACGAGATAAAATTGAGGCAGACCTACTTACTGGTTTAGTTAAACGTAGTATAAAACGAAAGGAACGTGAGCGCCAGCAAGCGCGCGAGGATTTTAAAGAAGTATTTGAAGTACTTTTGGTGTCTCAGGATAAATCCACTAAAACACAGGATCTAATGTTAGAAGAACTTCGAAATTTAAATGGAAACATTGATGATGAACCTATAGGTCGAGATCGTCGTCGTCAGCGCCGTCGTCGGGAACCCGATGACATTAGTGATGAATCTACTGATGAGGAGTCTGATGTGGATTATCCTCGTCCCCATACACGCTGGCCAGTTTATTATACAGTGGTACAGTCGGCTTAACTCGTCGAGGTGTTGTGGGCACTGCCGATTTGGCTCGCAGAGGATTGCAAGAATTGTATTATCGTTGGAATCCACATGAGGAACCCGGGCGGAACCCCAGGTACCTGCAGAAATACAGGAGGAACAGAATAGAATACGCCAGGAGGAAGACATCCTCCAACGTCGTCGACAAATACAGAATTCTTAACAGGAACTACTAAAAAAACAAGAGGATGCACTAAATCAGGAACAAGAAATACAGCAACAAAGACAAAAACAAAAAGAAATCCAACAAGAACTAGAACCTAAAGCTAAGGAGCAGAAAGAAGAGGTACAAAGGCAAACTCAACAGGTTGAGCAACAGGCTCAACAGGCACAACAAGTGGGACAAGAACAGACACAAGGTCAAGATCAACAAGTTAAGAGTCTAGAGGAACAAAAGAAAACTAAGCTAAGTGAACTAAGCGATCGTTTAGAAAAGCAAGCCGAGCAACGTCGTCAAATACAAGAACAGCAAAAAGAAATGCAAGAACTACAGACAAGCAGTCTCAGGAGTCGCAACGATTGAGTAAGGAAGCAGAAGAATCACAACATCGTCAGTCGCAAGAAATACAACAGTTACTGTCAGCACAACCACTGCTAACTTCATCATCTGCTCAACCACAGTTACTGTCTGCTCAACCATCATTTATGTCAGCATTACCACTGTTAACTTCAGTGTCTGCTCAACCACCGTTAGCGTCTTCTCAACCACAGTTAGCGTCTGCACAACCACAGTTACTTGCATCACAAGTCCTCCCACCTTTAAGCCAACAGCTATCCCAAATGAGAAGCCAAACTTAGAGTATGCAGAGTCAATTAGCACAAGCAAAGGAGATACAATCACAACAGCTTCAGTTAAATAAGGAAATACAAAAAGAACTAGAATATCAGAAGAGTGTACAACAACAATTACAAAGAACATCGCAAGCACTGCAAGCACTTCAGAGCGGGGATACCACCACGTCGCAGACAAGCGAGTCAGCTGCGGAGGATGTAACAGAAGCCATATCCAATATATCATCAGCAGCTTTAACAGCAATGGGAAAAGTAGCATCTAATGGGGTATCGGCATTGGGCAATACTGCTTCGACCTTACTCGTTCAACCTTTGAAATCCATAGGAAAAATGGCTAAGAGCGCTGCTGAAGGTTCTCTTCAGTCATCCGATGTATTTCCATCTGTTACTGCGTCTCAGGTGCTTCCAAGTGGATCCCCGAGTATTGCATCTCGATTGTCAGCTCGCCCAGACCTGTATCGAAATTCAAACACGATACCACCACCAGATTGGCAATCACCAAATGTCACTGGAGTCTGACCATCGTGGCATCCCTCATCTGATCCGAGTCTTGCTGGGTTTAGTCCTTCTCCTTCTCCACAGGCTTCGTCGCAAGCGTCGTCGCAGCAATTGATTTTAGCGCCACCTTATAATCCATCAGATATATCACAAGGTTTAAAAACACCATCAAGTAAGATGTCTAGACTAACGAAAGATTATTCCTCACCAAGTGTTTTACCAAGAATTGAAGAATTTACCACACCAAATCAACCAGGTGTTCTTCCTGATCTTACATCTGTAGTCGAACGACAGATGAAAAAAGAAAGGAAGTCGCAGCTGTCCTCCAGGTCGTCGTCTGGTTATATATCAACGCCCGAAACGTATAGTAATGTTTCTTCGTATTTACAAACTCCATCAGGATACAATGCTGGATATTCTACAGCGCCAGAGACAGCACCAGAGACTTCCCCAGAGCCGATACCACCAGACGAGCAACAAGCAGACCCACAGGGTCTGAGAACTTCTTATTATGGAGAACCGAATTGTGGTACAGGAACCAATACCACCAATAGAACAATTACCATCAATGGGTCTTTTAGAGTTAGCTGATCTGGATAAAGGATTAACTAAAAGTCTACGAAGCATACAAGCAATGATAAATGGAAAGAATAGAAAACGTAATAAAACACGAGGATTATAATTTAATACAAGAATACGAGAGATACAAGCAGGAATTATATAATTACGTCCCATATTTCAAACAACATTATAGCATGAGAAAACAACAAGGACAAGGTCAACAAGGCTAAGGCGTTTTCTTTTACAACACACCCCAAGAACTTCTAAAAAGACTAGAATTACTAGATGGCTCATTGAGAGCAGGAAATAACGGAGTATTACCCGAATACATACAGATATTACACCGACTTAAGGATATAGGCGTTTTGACTAATTCCCATCTTAATAAACTGTTAAAAAAGTATATAGACATAATATAAATGAATGAAAGTGCTATTCATATTTCCTCTATTAAACAAGAACGCATAGGAACAAACAAACCTCATGATTTTATAGTTAAATTCAATCCTCCTCTAAAACTTGACCCAGGATTTAGGCATTTTCTCGCCATTGATCGACTGTCAATGACTTACTCTTGGTACAACATCAGAAGTGATTACAACAACAATACAATCAAATACACTCATGACGGAACGACTTGGCAAACAATTACTTTTACAGATGGAATGTATTCCTACTCTGATATAAACGATTACATTCATCAGTACATGGACCAAAAATGTCATCACTCAACAGACTCCAAAGGAGCAAAGGTGTATTCGATTAATCTAACTTTTATTTTGAGTACGTATCGAGTTTTGTTATCAATTGATGGGGACTACCAACTTGATCTGCGTGGAACAAATTTTTTGGAGACGGATTTGAAAAGAAACTTGTGACTAAAACAGAGTATGGAACACGCCTCCCAAATATTACGAATTCAATTGATTCATTAAACATAAACACAACAGCCATAAGGGATAGTGTCGTAAATGGAGTATTAAAATACAGACACAATTGCGGTTATTGCAACTGATAATCTTACGAGGAGTTATCGATTTACTTTCGAACCGCGAAGGCAACTGTACTGCCCTGTGAGTTTAATTATATTTCTGAAATGAGAATATATGTAACTGATTCACTCGGTCAACCTGTTGAGCTCAACGGTATTGATTGGTTTATGACGCTGTTGCTTCGCCATACTGAAGAAAATTCAATAGTATAAAGAGAGGGATGATGTTCCCATTTAGTGTAATTCTATAAATAAAATGAGTGCAACTCAAATGAGACGACAATCAGAGTTTAAAAGAAAATACGACCCAGAAATGGGAAAATATATGAAACAGCACATTTGGGGAGAAGAAATAATTGATTCAGTCAAATCTTTTTTTAAAAAACCAACTCCTAAACGTAAACCCCCACCGCTTCCGCCTCAGCCTCCCAAAAAAGTGACATTTGCCGACAAAAAGGCGGGTGATAAAATAATAAAAATACTTTCTCGCGAAAATCCTCCTACCACCAAAAAAACAACATCACATAAAAAATTACTGAAAAGGAATATAACCAATATTTGGATGGATTAAGAAAATTATATAACTATTAATATAAAGTGAAATCGTTTAGAAAACCAAAATATCTAGAGAGATATGAAGATGTTATTTTCGATCTGGAACAACCACTAGTTACAGCAGACGCAGCTAATAACGCCGCTCAAGTCAGACCAGCAAACCTTAAGTTTATAGCTGATAATACTGGAGAGGCCACTCCATTCGATTGTTATAACGCGCGTTTTTCAATGGATTTTAAAGTAACTCCATTAGCTGGAGGAAATATAGCAGGTGACGACCACAATGGAACTGTAAATGGTTCTAACTCATTTCTAAAAAAATTAACTATCTTAGCAAATGGAAAAGAAGTTTATAGTTGTAATGAAGCAAATCATGTTGCAAATATTAAAAAACTTACTTGAGTATAATTCCTCTTACGCGAAGAGTATTGGAACCACAGAATTTTACTATCCTGATACATCAAGCTCCGCAGAGGAACGTCCTGCTCAAGCAACCTACAATGTAGGTTTTCATTTAAGAAAAAAAGTACTAGGTACTTCAGTTTTAGTCAATTGTGAAATTCCTCTTAATAGGTACTCTTTCTTTGAAGCATTAGAAGACAAACTACTTCCCAACACAAAAAATTGAAATAAATTTTGAAATAGAAAGCGATGCAAATCTGGTGTTCCAGGCTGGTGCTGATTGCAGAGTTATTGTAAAAAGACTTCAGTTATATATTCCAAAGTTAACTTTTAATTCAGAAGGCCAAAAGTTATACATGGAAAATTATCTTAAACCTTACAAGTGGACTTATCTTAACGAAGTAATTCATGTGTCAAATAATCAAATAATCTACAGCAACAAACAGGTCATTACAGAATTACAACCGCTATTTCAAAACCACGCCATGTATTTGTTTTGGCGATCAACACAGCAAGAATTAACGCACAAGCACAAAATCCATTTATATATGATACTTTTGGTAATTTACCAGCCAATGCTAACGTAGCACGATGTTATCTCGCAGTTGGAAATGGTAATGAATATCCTGATTATCACTATAAACCATCTACAGATTTAACAAGAGTTTTTAGAGGCTTATTAGAATATGTTCACGCAAACAACGACTTTCAAGGTGGAACAATTCTTGATATGGACACCTACAAAAAAGTTTATCCAAATCACCACTAACCCTTCGATTAAAACACTCTCAACTAGGCGGCAGTGATGAGATGATGCTAACCCGCAGGCAAATTACTAAAAAAGAAAAATCACCAGCATTGGGTAAAGGAACAGATATAAAGATAAGCCGAACACAGATTAGGCGATCAGTAAGACACGGTGGTAATTTATTCACTACTCTCGCATCTCTAGGAGTACGATTACTTCCTCTAGCAATGCGGGGAGTTTCAAAAGTTGCTCCTGCACTGGCTACTGGAGCCGCATCTGCACTTGGCGAGATAGGTTTAAAAAAGTTTTTTGGAAAAGGAATTCCTTCGGTAACAATTCCCAAAAAATTCATTGTAATATTACCACCTTTTCCTAGAGAGTTTACCAAATCGCAACGAGACCAAATAAATAAAGCTTATAAAACAGGAGGCCAACTGGTTATCAAACCAACCCGTAAACAAATAGAAGGAGGATTTCTGGGAACACTTGCCTCTATTGGTATTCCAATGGCGATTAGTTTAGTTTCAAAGATGTTTGGCTCTGGTTTACAGATTGACCGAGGATCGTCTAGTAATATGAAAAATGTTTATGTGCCGCCGCCACCTACATCAACACATGGTGAAGGATACTACCCCTCAGGTTATCCACATCGCCCGCCACCCTTTTTTGGTAGTTGGGAAAACCCGATGGGAAACCCAGTAGGAATGGGAGTCGCCGCCACATGTGGCGCCGTCAAAGGTAAAAAAAAAGTCCAAAGGAAAAGGAAAGCCCACAGGGGCGGGTCTGTACTAGGAAAAAACAGCCCATTCAACTCAGTTCCCATATTAGGAGCCATTTTGTGATAAAACCTCTATCCAACTTTGACTTGATGGATTGGGTAGAGAAACTTAAAATAAAACATTTTAGAGGCATTTACAGTCGCGATGGACTACCGCGTGCGATCAGAAAAGAATGTGGAATAATCAATCTCGATGATATTCAACGCGTAGGCACACATTGGGTTTGTTACAGAAATCTGACCGGCAACGCCGGTGTGGTTGAGTGCTTTGATCCATTTGGTTTGATTATGCCAAATGAAGCATTAGAGTATTTTCGTACAGCTAGAAAACAGACAGTTTACTCAATCGATGAAATACAAAATTGCAGTACTGTTCTCTGTGGTTACTGGTGTTTATGTTATTTATACGAGCGACAGCGAGGTAATAGTATTCTAGACGTAATACATAACCCGCATTTTGATAATGACAACAGTGATTTCATAAAGGAATACTTTTCTAGGCTAACCCTCTCCTAGCTACGATGCTTAGTTTTAGAAATGAAAAAAGGTTACTACAGTATTTAGATAATAAAAATAATATTCAATAAATATTATTTTCAAAATACTTTGTTATTCTTGTAGTAACCTTTTTCAGTCTTCATCCATTGGCGCGTCTTTTAGCTTTTTAATCTCGTCAACTTTCTTATTTAAATCTTTAACATTATTAACTATATCATCAAATTTTGAGTAAGTACCAATAAGTCTAAAAAACGTTTTCTTTTTATCGCTATTTATTTTTAACCAAGAATAATTACCATTTTTAATATTTTCCCAGAGCTCACACTCACCAGGTATTAGTACTCTAGAAAGGTCGTCATTTGTTTTTCGGAGAGACTCAAACTCATAATTTATTTTAGTTCTAACCTCTTTCTCAAAATCTTTGATTGTTATGACATTCATCTTTTTTTCTATCTCAGAGAAAAACTTAGCCTCCATTTTATTATTAGACTAGATAAAATAACTTCTTTTTGCAACCTGTCGAAGAGTATTTGATTTCGATTGTATTTCCATAAGCAACTCAAATATTTTTATAAACCGCCTGTCATCTTCAAGTTGAGAATAGTCTGCATATTCAAAACTCACATTTAATAAACGTTTTCAAGTTCGCCTTTTACAAACTTTACTCGATACTTCATTAAAGCTAACGCTGTTTTATCTAATCATTATACTAAATGTAAGAACCATATTGTATTGTAGATAAAAGAGTAACTCATGTCGGCGGGCGCTCCGCACATGCCGGTTTAAAACTCAAAAGGTACCAATGCTGTATGTCGTAAACGAAAATGAGTCAAGTTAAAAATCTACAGAAGGAAAACTGTGGCTGGCGACGACCCAAACAAAACAAACGAGAAACGAAACTTCGAGGGGTGTGTCACAGCAGGTTAGATTAGGGACTATTTTACGGGTCAGCAAAACAAGAAAACCACGGAAAACCAAAGGTGAAGGTTAACGGTGATTTAATGCCAAATTCCAAAGACCAAAGATTGACCGTAAACTGAAATAACAATACAAAAATCTCTATCAATTTTGGCGAAAGGGCGATACTAAGACAAATAACGCGTTGTCAACAAACTAAGCTCGAAAACGGTAATAAAGCGATTCTATAACGATTAGGTCGATAACAAGACGGTAAAATCTAATTAAAGGCTACATAAACTGAAATTAGACAATAATGCCATAAATGTGATCTTAATCCTTGTACTATAAAGCAAAAGTGTGGGCGTTGCTCTAACAGGCGTTCAAATCCGCTTTTCGCTCATGAAAAAATTATAAATCAATTAAGCTTAAATCTGTAAACTTGTACAGTAACATTCGTGTACTTTTGCCCACAGACTAAGGAACGAAACTAAACAAAGAACTAAAGAAAAGAAATCACTTACATATCGGTCCCGCTTGTACCAAAGGTTAAAACAAACCACAAAAACGATGTTACGACACGAATCCTACTTGACTTTTCCTGACCAAAAGGACGCTAACGCGCGCTTTTATACCCGCGTGGGGACGCCGAAATATCTCATTACAAAACCAATAGAAAATCAGGTAAACATTGTAACTACGCTAGTAACTAGGATCAAAGCATGAAAATCACGAAATCAATGAAAAGGTATTGTTCTTATGTCTTGTCCTTTACATGGCTCCCCTGAAATAATATGATTATTTCACTAAATCAACTAAAAAATCAACTTAATGTTCATATAATCATGTTTTCTTTTCAAAGTTCAGTTCAATGTTCAAGGCTCCTTGGCGGGGAATTACCCCGGAACTCACTTAATTCTCAACTTGCATCAGCAGTACCAGCTTGTGGATCGGTCGGTCAAAGTACCGTAATTGACCAGTTCTCTTTCCCTTGGAATCGAGGCAGCTA